ACGATCAGCATCATCATTCTGTGATTACTATCATCATCATCATTTTGCCATCATTAGGTGTTGCGGTTCAAGGCCTTGTTTGTCTCTCACATCAGCAGGTGAGTTTGGTCGTCATCATCACCATCTTCAGGATGATGTTTATCACCATCTGCAAATCCAAAAAAAAAAAGACTCTCATCTACCTCTCTCTCCATCATAATTTTTAGAAATTTCCAGTTCTACCATATATTTTAGGGATTCGATCTGATGGATGTGCTTCAGTCGGGATAGGGCTTTTGTGGTCAATGTTGGGACTCTTGGGGGAAGGGTGGGGGTGGTATTGGGGAGCCTTACTCTACAGGGGCGCTGCAAGGTGGGAGGTGGCTGCCGTGTCGGGGGTGGGGCAGATTTGTGGTCTGTCCTTGTCTGGGGCCGGGGTGGGAGAGTTGGTCGCCTTCAACCCCGGGGGGGGCAGATAGGGACAAGGGAAAGGCGAAGATATCCTCTAGGAGGGAATTGGCTGCCTTTGCGGAAGTGGGGGAGGAGGGGGTCTGTTCCAGGTTGGGGCCGAGGAGGTTTTCCTCGGCGGTGGCCATGGGACAGTGGGCAGGGGGAAGTTTCTCTGTGCGGTGACTTTTGGAAGCTTCTTGGATCGGATTTCTTCTGTTATGCCTGGTAGTTTGAAGAATTTATCAGGCCTCTGAGGGTTTGCCGGTGGGTTGTACGAAGCTGCGCTGGATTTAGACTGTTATATTCAGGATTCGTGGCTCTCCAATGCCAGAACGACGCTGGCCGGAGCCGGGGTGATGCCTTGTAGCTTGCCGAAGGTGAGGGCATGAGGCCTTGCAGAGAGATCTGGGGATGCTATGCGGGGGGCATCCTAAAGGACAGCTGGGGGTTGCTGACACAGGACGACACTGGCCGGAGCTGGAGTGAGTCACGCTGCTCTGTAACCTAGCAGTTAGGGGGCGTGAGGCCTGGTTGAGTTTGTCAGAGAATAAGTCAGTTTCGGTGAGCTTTGTTAGGATCTGTTGGAAATCCCTTAGATACTTGAGTTTTTTGGAAAACTGCTGTGGACTTCAGGAGGTGCTTAGAATCGTTGATATAGCATAGTCTCTTTTATATACTAATCACCATCATCATCATCATCGTCATCATCATTATCATCATCATCGGAATTAGAAGTCCATCATTACTAGCATCACCATCATCATCACATGAGGGACACTGAGCCCGGTTCTCAGCATGTTCGGCTCAGTTACTCCGGGTAGACAGTGAGGACCCCGGCCTCAATCTTCATTTGAATAAAAAAATTTGTTTAAAAAAAAAAAAAAAAAGGGGTCACAGCGGCGCTGCGTTAGCACAGAGCTAGCGCTGCTCTGCGTTGCACCGTTCCCGAATTTTTTAACACCACGGGCGCCTGGTGCATCATGAGGAGGGTGACGCCCCTGCGCCCGAATACCGCCGTTGCATCCCGCCTGTGGTCCCTCCTCCTTGCCAGGCTGGCAACCATGGGTGAGATTTGGACGATGCTCTTTTCTTCCCCCTCCCTTATATGGGAATTGCAACCAGGTCAGGGCATTCGCCCCTGGTCTTAAATATGGAGCCTTTATGAGTATACTGCTGCTGTGTCTGTCTTCGTCAGTGCTGGAGAGGTTTTCGGTTGATTGGGTTGCTGTTGCCTTATGCCGTGCAGAACCAAGTGCGCGACAAGGGTCATGCTAATCTGCTGTTGGTGAAGGGAACGATTGCCGTTTGACCTTTTACAGCGGTGACATGGCCCTGACTCCTGAGTGATGGCCGGCATCATCTTTAATGGGATTTCGTCACGTGGAGAATTGAGACTTCGGCTTCCTTTTCTGATCGACTTCTGCCAA